ACTATCCCTGTGCGTGTGTGTGTGTTTGTGTGTATGTTTATTAGTATATATATATATGTATGTATATGTATATATCTATATATATATATATATATACATCTGTATATATATATATATATATACATCTGTATATATTTATATCTATATATGTGTGTGTGTATATGCATACATATATATGAGAATATGTATATATATATGTGTGTGTGTGTGTGTGTGTATCGTTTGTGTGTTGGTGGGTTTGGATGTATGTACGTGTGTGTGTATATGTATGTTGTGTTTGTTAGTTTGATTCCTATGTGTTGATGGATATGTTTGTTTGTATTGTAACTATCTATAATAACTATTTAATCGTTCTACATATTATTGTTACTGATTGAGCTCCTTGATAGATGATAGTGCACATCGCTTCAGTATTTACCGTTAGTGATAGGTACGCTGTTTGTCGTGTCAATTATATCGTGTATTGTGATAAATGTGTATAGTATGCTGTCAAAATAGTGGGTTGTCCCCAATGCAATGCTTTTGTGTGGTATCGAGAATATAGTAAGCGAATCTCTAATTTCATCAAGCTTCAAACGAATCTGCAGATGTGCCAAATGTTTTGTACAAATGTACTACTCACGCCCATGATTTGTCTGTATATATATATATAACAAACCCTGGTATTTCTGTAATTCACTTGTGCATTTGTATGAACAGAATATAATATTGGAGGTATGAGACGTTTCTTCGATGGTTTCAAATATGGAGTCTCGCTAGTACTGAAATGCTTAAAAAAATTACCTTCTTCATTCTTGGATATTGATTTCTAGTCCCTGGTTGCGCGCAATTTGTTGGTTCCACCTCTCAATTTCTCCATGGTTGCTTCCGGAGTGTATCGCTCAGGATATCCGGGTACCAAAAACTACTCATTTCTGCGGAAGCTAGGCCTGCGCACAGTAGTGTAAGTGCGAGGAGTGACTATTTCTCACGTACAGTCTCATGATTTCATTCCGGATTGATCGTCAAGAGCTGTATCTTAAAATAAAAACTCTTTTAGTCTGGAACTAAAGCCATCGCTGTGATGATATTACCCAAGTTTTTGACCGTGCGATATGAAACATTCTTAAGCCAATGAACTTTTGCGCAAAGATACCAATGTGCTAAAGTCCTGGGCACGAATGTTTGACTTTCGATACTCATCACCTTTTACGAATTCAATCAAACCACAGATGTCTCTCAGACATCGAAAACTTGAATGCAGATTTCTATCAGACAGAAGGTATCCGATTCATCCACATGCCCATAGTTGGCAATAAGGTAAACCTATGTCAGTGTGCTTCACTCACGCGTTGGCAATATTCGTCCATTGGATTTCACGGAGTCGCTTTGTACATGCGCTTGTCTCTGCCTGACTCAACAATGTCTCTAATAAGTACATACGATATATTTCGCTGATTTTTTAGGAACCATTCACTCGGATTCCTGAAGATGTAGCGTCGGAGGTGCTGGACACTCTCTTAGGTGAGTGGTTATACATGCAAAAACTGCGGTCCTAATTGTCGCAGGCGATAGAAGAGAAGCCACCAGGACACTGGTGCCAGATCTTCCTTTCTCGATGCAGCCGAGTATTTAATCTGTTGAAAACGATGCAGCAGAGTATTTAGTCTGTTGAAAACGACGCGCATCGTCGGTTTCGCACATGGATCAGCAAAAGAGTTTTGTATTGCCTTATCGATCATCGGCTCAATATTCTGTCAAACACAGATCGTCGCAATCACCCAGTCTTGATCCACTGCAATAAGGGAAAACATAGAGTTGGCTGTATGATTGGCTGCCTGCGGAAAGCACAGAAGTGGTCCATGATCTTTCTGTTCGATGAATATCAACGCTTCTCTGGTACCAAGGTATTCTGCCATCAAATTTTGATATATCAACCAAGCCTCGTGGCGGAATTGGTAGATCCTTCGAATGCACAGGATCTTACTACTATTTGATCGGAGACAAGGTTCATCAGAGGCTGTGAACCTCCTGGTGTTCACCATCTTTGAACTCGGGCGAACGGCCGTTGTACAATTAGCATTGCTCGAATATTCGAGGAAAAATATTCTGTGCCATTGCTCACCACCGCATGATGTATGTCAAGTAAGAATGTCTGTCACATTTTTCATACAGGTCCGTATCTTAGATCAACAGTTTATTGAGCTCTTCAACATTGACACTATCGCAATCGACAAGAGGAAGCAATTGGCGGAGTGGTGATAGATCGAATACAACGATTCCAGGCATGAAACCGAACGCATTCGGGCACTGGAATCTCCTTTATACGCGCACTCAAGTGCCTGTGCGCATGTACGATCGAGCTGTTGATAAAGTGTCTCTGTGGGCAGTTACGTACAGACCGAGGTCAGCGACCCACCTATTTTCAGCCTACTGTGTGCTGTTTTATCTGAAATCCCAGTTTTCTGTCCGCGTGAGCTGCTAAAATATTATGGATGATATCAAATCTGTCATATCGTGGAGAAAGACTTCGTCCTTGACCCTAGTACTGCCGCGAAAGCGTCGATACATAAATAGTCGACGTTTTTGAGGACTTCATGGTTAGCATTTGCCCTCACCAATCGTTAGGCTGAGCCGCTGGAAATGTGGGGAGCATATCGTACGAATTTACCGTGGCTGAAGCGCATTAATTTAATCCCACAAAATACCGGTACTTGAGCCCGTCCAAAATCTGGTATATACCTTTTTCGGTGTGAATGAACACCAATTTTGTATAAACATAAGCGCCAACATGGTCAGGGAAGAGAAATTATGCGGGTGAATGAGGTGTCATGGCACCACAGAGCGCTTGCAGTGGCATTCGATTCTCGCGGATTGGCCTCAGATATTACTATTCACATCGTTGTATGTTTCAGTTCAACAGTGAGGAAGCTAAAGCATTCACGCGTTGTAAACATGCATTGTATGGTGCAGCGAATATGTTTAACTTTGTGTTATCGTATCTCACTTCGCACTCATTGGTAAAGTATAGTTGAAATATTAACCCTGACAGCTAAATCTTCTAAAGAGACGGATGCGAGAGCAAGAGAATTGCGGACAGGCCTTTTAGCGCCAGTTGCAATTTTAATAGTTTTATTGTAGTCGAGAGGGAACAAGTGAATGTGAGCATTTAATACCATATTGGCTTTTTGGAATGTGTATCTCGTATAATGTTCTATTTGGCGAACCTTGTCAATTACAAATTGAATCGCATATCTATGCAATTCATGCTTGACTTTGGGACACCTAGCATACCGATGAAACCGCTTGTTACATAACAGCCAATACTGTATATACGTAGAAAGCATAACATTGTGGCTGCCACATGTATACAATATTCGGTATTGAATATGTGTATCATTCATTGTGAATGGATGTGTCAGCATATGTGTACATTTGCATGCGTACCTATATAGGAATACCAAACTGTGTCCCGGGCAGGAGCCATACTGTAGAGTTGTACTCTCAATTTGTTCGAAAAGCTGCACTACGTCTGGTCCCATCTCACAAGTGGCCCCGGTTGATTTGGCTGTGAATACAACAGCAATGGGTTCTGCTATAACCGACATTGCCGAGCAAAATAAATACATGACTGTGGTCAAAGCGTCGGTATGTATGGAGCAGTGTTGGAATGTTACTTGTTCCGTCACCCATCTTATTGTTCAGCTTCAAAAATTGTAAATGAGACTTAGTGGTGCAATTTGTGTTATCTCTGTGACCCTCAAATAAATGTTTTAGTATCTCATGTTCTGTTTTTATCTTAGTCTGGAAATATTGCACAGATGTGATATTTTATTATCATGGTTATATGGGATGTATACGAACGGCCTTTATGCTGAACATTGATCAACCTTCCACAAATTTCCGTTTGACAAGCCTTGTAGTTTCGATTTCTCTCAGTTTCGAGGGAGTAACTGTAGTGGTATCGGTGTGATCATTCATATGGACATACTGTCGACCCCTAATTGGCCAGTGCAATACCTCTAACTTTTTTAGGATGCATGATTTGGAGGTGCAGATTGCACCGAAGCCATCGCCGGATGTGTCTATGTACGCCAGTGGGAACTGGATTTTACAACCCCAACCTTGCACGATTATGTCATTGTTCTATTTGAAGTGAGATTTCAGCATATGGAGGGGTTTGAACCACCCATAGTGATTGTTACTGATATGTCCATCATATGGTAGGCAAGGCTGCGTTTTATTTGCCATTTTGGAGCTATCGAGTTCGGATTTCATCGGCGAGCTGGATCGGTCTTTCTCAACAGTGAAGAGCGCTGCTTCATTTGAGGGCTGACAATTAGGCCCAAGAACGACAGAAACCACCGAAAACGCAACCGGGGTTGTCTTCAATCCACACTACTGTGGGACCAACTTGTCCGCATTTTGCGTTAAATTTCATGCCACACCCATCCCGTGTTTCCTGGTAGATTGGTCTTGTGCCCGCCTTCCGAACCAGGTTTTCAGTGTGTTTGTCAGATACGTATGAGCCACCCACTTCCACCAGCAGTTCTTGTGTCTGTTTGTTCAACTTTTCGATAGCCTCCTGAAGACTGGTTAACTGAGAATGCGCATTGGATTCAAGGAGGGCAAAATCGACCGACTTCACAACAGGTTGAATCTTCAGTATATTTTGCAGCAATTCGTTCGCGATATCAAGGGTCACATCACTTTCTCGAAGTATTTCCAGCTTAAAATTAGTTTACTCGATTTTGAATTGAGACTGTCGATATCGTTCCATTTCCTACAGGCTTTGAAATTTATTTTGTCGTTAAAAAGATACATGAAGGCGCACATCTCCATGTCTTGTGTGTGCTCGAAAGATTCAAGTATTCTGGGACATGAGTTAAAACCTTCAGCTCTTGAACGGCATTCTTACCTGGTACGTCGAAGTCGAAATGAAACATCAGGGTTTTTACGTCCTCCTTCTTTGTTACACGTGCAATTGCCGCAGTGTTCGTCGTGGCGACCTCAAGAGCTTGTTTGAGCACTGTACGGATAGTACAAGTCGGCTTTGTTTTTGATGTGGGAATAGCATAATCCTTCATAATTGACTGTCGGATTGTCGTTAGTCTACATAGAGCGTGAGGTTTCATAACTCCTTCATCATATTCTTGTAGGCCCCTGAAGACATTAGTTTATGCCACTTTGAAGTGTACTGTGCTGGAGAGTGATGTGAGACAATCACTAAAGTATCGTTTGTTTTGTATAGGCAAGATCGGACACTCCAAACATCTGCGACAGCCAGAAATGGTCTGGATAGAAGTGTGCGTTCATTGTTGGATTACACGAAACGGTTCATCAGGTGTTTATCCACTTCTTCTCGGACCAATACTTCTTCTCTGAATCAACAGACAGTATATCGCATATCAGCAGGAAGCGCTTACTTAAGATTACAATCTTAACTCATAGTATCTCTCCTTTTAATTTAGTATACCAGTGCTGACCAAGTGGAAACGTGTTCGATAATTCCGTATAATGGGCTCAAATTCACACCAAGTTCGTCACTGCCTTCATAAAAAAATTTTAAGGTACATTGAGCATTTCATGTCGTATCACCTTTCATGCGAATAGAGTCACATTAACATGTCCCAACTGTCAATGTGTTACAACCACGAGATGTGCATTCATATAAACCAATTTTGTACTTAAAAACCCGTACTGCTGGTATTTTTGTGTGTACATCCATGGTGCATTGAAGCAGCGCTCCAGTCCGCTGCCAGTTGAATATAGAACACCATACTTCATATCAACGCCGACAGCGATAATGTTGTGCAGAGTAATTTATGACTCTCCCATAGTTAATGTACCCTGTTTCCATCTCTTGTATATGTCCAGGATTCGTCGGATTCCACACAGTATACAGTGAGGTCATTATCGTGAAACCACGGTAGGTACGGACAAGAAGAACGGTAGTGGTTGGCAAACATTCAATAGTGAATCGGAGCAGTTTGTTGTCGCTAATATTAAGGTATAATTCTTTAAATGTCTCGTTGATCAGTGCTGTGCAAATTCAATTCAACTCGGCTTGAAGCACGTCAGAAATGATAATTCTATACTCGTCGCAACGTCAGGACTTTCACGAACGCAGCCATTCCATTCGAAAATTGTGTTGATACTTTACGAACATGAAGTGCTAAATTTTTTGATAAGATCTCAAAGTAGTACGTCGTGATGCGGGAAGTAGGTCGCCCATAAGCTCTGGATGGTGTCAACTAGCTTTATATAGCGATTGGAACTTATGTACCTTGCGTTCTGGCACATGAACTTAGAGACACGGGTACTCCTGTTGATCGAATTCAAGCATGTTCATTTTTTCGTACTTACTCGCTTGTCTCGAAAGTCAGGATGAATTAGCAATTGTCAGCAGTGGTACATTATGTATACCGCCTTCGCATTGTCAGTTTATTGATAATTAAGCCCACTTATGTACTTTAATCATAATCATGGTCCCTATCGTCTTCTTCGTGATGCACGATTGACCGATTTACAGATATATAAATCGTCTTCAAGTTTTACATCGCTTCACTGACTTTTGTTGAACTAAAAATTACAGGATATTGCTTAAAAATCGTAGACCTTTGTATCATTTTGAGCAATCTTGAGCAATTTGAGCTGATGTTACAGGGGAAATTGAGTAATATTGGGTGCGCGAACTGTCGTACGGGAGAGAATAGTTTCCGTGACAAACTGTAAGCTTCGCAAGAAATGACGTAATTTTCGATGTTTTCAAAGCTCGTTATAGGTGGTTGCAACGCACAGCATTTGTATTAATACCTGCATACTTTATGTGGTCGTTGTTTCACGATGCGTCTATCGCCCTGTTAAATTTTTTTCCGTCAAATGTAGCGCATTTAATCAGCGTCTATGCGTCTAGGCTAACACGGCAGGGTGGCTATTTCATCAGACAATGGTCGATATAGCCACGATATTCGTTTTTCTACTGCCTGTTGCTTGCTACCGCTGATGGTATCAAAATAAGCTCCAGGTTACACAGACTGTATTCAGAACCGGGAACTAAAAACAATACCTTTACTTGCTTTTCTACACGAGGGTATGAAAACGAGGGAACAGAAGATCCTTCGAACCGTTTGTTATCCTCACGTCACACCTTCCTATCCCTTTTCATCGGTTCACCTCAGAGTGGCGCTGAAGAAGAGCCTATACGATTTTGAACGAGAAGGAGATACGACTGTAGGTTTGTCTACACATCTTTTAACACGTTACAAATGTTACTGTTTATAAATAAATACTATCATGGACTTGAACCAAGAGTTGATGATTCCCAAATAGCGAGTTTTAAAGCAGTTAACCTTGTGATATATTTTTCTATCTGATCTGTAATGTCTTACAGGATAAACGGTTCGGTACACAAGGTACCGAACAGCCAGAAAATATCGACATTAAAGGGTACCTGTCATATCATAACAAGATGTCAGAAAGGTGCCAGGGAGAATGTCTACAATTGGGTAATCATATTAGTGCGAGCAAGGTGAGCTATTAGGAAGGCAGGATATGGTAGGAACCAACAGAGGCTATGCCAGTTGAAAAAAAAAAATTCCCTATGCCAGGGAGCTATGGTAAAGTGCACCTGGCAATGAAGGAGGGATAGTGTTGACGTAAGAGAGCCTATTATGGAAGGTGTCAAAGGACACATGGCGTAAGGGGGCCGCAATGGTTGGTGGACTAGGTTGGTTGCCCGCAAGAGACAGCCGCATAGTGTCAATCTAGAGGCAACGATATGGTGTTGACGTGAGTGGATATGGTGAAGGCCTGCAGAAAGTAAGGGTTGACGCTATGCGAATGAGGAGTAGGATAGTAGGCCTAGAATGATAGAGGAGACGAGTGTTAAGGCTGGGTTGAACAGCTGGAGGATATATCGGATGGAAACACAATATATGTGTCCAGTCTGCAGTTTGGGACTTGGATACATGTCAAATAAACTGATCGTACATATATACATCTGTGCTACCATCTACAATTTGACATACCGGGTCAATGAGTTGGCTATTACTTACAACAATCTATACAAACACTATTTCGAGAGGTGCTGATTTTGTGCGTTAAATGATTTTGACTTCCAAAATGAGCGGGTGGTTCAATACTGAGCTACACGAAAGTGAATCCAACGCCGACAACAACACTATATGGAAATTCAAGAAGCTGGATTACCATGACACGTCGTTCTTACACCGATGGTTTGCTTGTTGGGAGGAAGCCAAGACAACCAAGACTAAAGGGAAGATATCCGCGGGGGTGAACCAAACTGTGACACTGCTCATGTGTGGAGTATAAGCTGATATCGAATATAAATCCAGAAACTACCATTATGAGAACGGAACAAAACACCATACGTACTTTTGGGCCCTGTGCAACTATGGTTAATAAGGGTCAGTCGGTACAGGTGCAGGGTTGGGCTACCAAGCTCAAGGGAGACCAGTATTGTCATCATAAGCAACGTCAAAAGATGACAAAGGAACTCTTTACTATTGGAGTGAGATCGATTGTGTTACATATGTCAGTGAAGTTCATCGAGGAAGAAGAGAGAGCTTCATGCTTGTCAACTTATGAGTCAGCGTACTATAAAGCTCCATCCGTTACTGATGACGACAGCGGTATTTTTTCACTAAGACAGTCTTCAGGTCGGGGGGGGGGGGGGGGGGGTCTGTGGCGCGCAAGAATGCACACCGGCTAAAGGCTGTGATGGAAGCCCGAGAGAAGGCGAACAGTGAGGCACCGGTGGGTTCAACTCATATCAGTGAAACAGTACAAAAGAAGATTGATGCTCTGGACGCAGCCTTGAAGAAAGTGATGGCCAGTAGTCAGCGGATCATAGAGGAGTACAGTCTGGATGTACCTCCACCCTAAAAACGGATAAACAAATATATATAAACATCCACGACAACAGATTCGCTATGGGATATTCACCCCTGAAACAATTAGCTTCTTTACTGAGCAAACCCAGGATGGAATAGCCAACCTATGTGGCTGTGAGAACTCGTGGCAGACAGCTGGATAACTCTATTGCTGAATTTGACAAATTGGTGTTGTATATGTTTTCGACGTGTCTGGAGGGCAATGCTCGTGAAGCATTCATCATCATATTCACGGGTATGGGTGGCTACGCGGTTTTGTCCAATATGATTGGACTACGTATGAGGACAGTGATAAGAACCCGCGGTGGAAGAAAGGCCGTTACGACAGAAAGAAAGAGGAGAAGTACGACCGGGATGCACGAGATAGCTCGGTACTGTCCAACAGGTCGTTTGGTGGAAGGGACCGTGATCGCAGCAGTGATAGGGGTAGCGATGACAGATCCAGATCCAGAGGTAGGAGTGACGAGCGTGATGGTAACGACGATAGGCGAAGATAGCAATCTCCGGTTAGAGGTGGCTCGTTGCCTCAAGGTTACAAGTGCTACACGTGTGGGGGTACCGACCACTGGAGGTCTGACCTCAATATGAGAAGTAGAAGCCGGTGGCAACGGCTAGTACTCGGAAGAATTGACTAGCAGATGAAAAACCTTCTGTGGGCGGTACGGTAGGAGAGTCCCAGGTGGCTTTGTATTGTGATACGGGCTCATATCCCTCTATGATACACCATTCAGTGATGGAGAAGGAAGGGTTGAAGCAGGTGAAGATACCCCGCGAGGGTTTGAAAGCTTATGACGGGTCGTTGAAATTATCTCCAATGTACGGAGTCAAGACCTGTATATCTATAGAGTTATTTAACACAGATACAGACCAACTATGCTCTTTTCAGACAGATGAAATTTTGTATTACGTCTTAGAGGTGGTGCCGATGGGTAAAGAGGCGACACTGGGCTTCATAACACAAAGGGATAATCATTTTTTTTTGGGATAAACGCAAGGAACCACCAGTGTTCCGTATGACAGTAAGCGTTTGGCCGGAACCAGCGGCGTCGTTAGTATATAAAGCACCCGAGACAATCTATAATATGGAGATACTACCGCTTCAAGAAGAAGTAATAACGGGTCAGAATATGATTTTATACACATGGAAAAGATGGTTAGAGGCCTAGGTGTCTCGGAGGAGGATATTGAGGCTATGAAGGACAAGTGGCGTAGGTGTGCGTACCGCAGAGATCAGTCTCATGAGTCGCATAGCCACGCGAAGTGATGCTATTCCATCGCGTATCATCTACAAGATTCGAGAGCCAGTGAGGGCAGCAGTAGAGAAGCTCAAGCTCAACAAGTAGTTAGAGACGAGTATTATTCGGAAGAGCTACGGTGGAGGCGAGTGATTGGCGTCGAACATATTCGCAGAAAAGGTGAAAGGTGCTGCTCAGACAACGGATGATGGTAATCGGATGTGCCAAGCTTACGTAGGGCTTATATGCCGAGTGAAGAGGAGTTGCGCATGCACATATGCAATGCATGGCGAACAACAATCACAGACAACGCCAATAGATTTAATCAATGCACAATAGATGAGCGCGACAAACATAAAATGGCTTTATTACTAGTGACGGCGAGATATGTGAACTCATAGGGGCTGGCTTTGGTTTAACGGTAGTGCCAGCACAGTACACGACGAAGAATTAGTATAGTTTCCAAACAGTAGAGGTTTTCTTGTGTTTCGTGGACGATTCTGTCACGTGCACGAACGAGGAGGATGATTTGCCACATGAGGCACGAGCAGGTCTCCTGTGTGTGCTGCCTGATTCCGAAGCAAGGAAACAATTGCTCCCAATTATAACATATGTGTGCACTACAGACCAGTCCGTTCCGCATGGAATGGTCTTGTCTCCCAGTGAGCGTAGGGCGGATGAGAAGAACTGGAGGTGCTTAGGGCAGCTGGAGGATGCGGCGATCGCGTCTAATACCAAGTTTAATGCGGTAAATGCCTAAGTCGGTACCGAAATCGTTCTATGGCCGGTTGTGGTACGATTGTTTTGTTACCATTTCCGACGAACGTATGCAAGGGATTGCGAGGTTAGTTATACCGAAGAGTAAGGACGAGCTCTCGGCATTCGTTTGCATGATGGCTTGGTGGAGCTGTACCATTCCGGGCTTGAGCGGCCGGTTGGCTCCTCTTACCAATCAGACCAAAGAAGGGGTTCGTTTCGATATGAATCTGGAGTGCCAGATAGCTTACTCGGATTGCATGTTTCTTCTAACCAACGGTATTAGCCTGTATGCGCCGGAACCAGAGGAAGAGCTTCATGGTTATCCGGATGCTAGCGAGGTGGCCTTGGAGGAAACCTTAATGATACAAAGGGCGCCGAAGGAGGTGCTTCGCTTGGGAGGTGAGATTCGTGGTTGGGCTGACGAGATGGAGCGACAGAGACTTCATAGGAAAGGTGTTAATCCTTGGCGTATGATCGGGCGGTCTAACATTAGAATGATGCACAGGTTCGGTACTGGTGGCCCACCTCGAAGGGATGGATGCCCAATAAACAGAGCCTCTCGTGCGATGGAACAAATAAGGGAAAAGAGCTGTCTCGTGAGATAATGGATGAGCAATTGTCAATGGCTCTGACGGTGTGGGACCGTCGTCATGTATGATATGAATTTTATGTTCTGCGCCGGCTTCTACAGTTCAAATTGCCAACATCAATGAAGAATTACGAACTTGCGGCTACCGAGTTTCTGATAAGCAAGACTATCTTCATGAACATGCGGTCGGTGTATGTGTTTGTCATCCATTCGGATCACAAGGCGCTCACGTCGCTGTTGAAGGGTGAGCCGGTTTCACCGGATACTTTGTCCATCAAGAAGATCGCTTGGATCCAAAGTGGTAACGGTTGGACGCGAACGATGGCCAGGTCTGGAGTTCGACTTGTTTGCGACCAAGGAGAACACACATTTGCCCATTGCGCTTCTGATGAAGAGGGAGGGGGCACATGGGGTGGGAGTGCCGATACAGTTTCGCTGGACGTTCTTTTACTGGGTTAACTCGCCGTGGGATGAGGTTGAGACGTTTTTGGCTTCCTTGCTTTCTTTTGATTCAGCGGAGACGGTCGCTATAGTGCCGGTTTGGTCGGGAGCTACCTGGTTTTCGACATATTGTGCCATACTTAGCGAAGCGCCGATCGTGGTACCTCCTGAGGCAGATACGTTCTTTGGAGAGCATGGTCAGCCTCTTGAACCTCCGTCATGGGGATGTTGCTTGATTGGTCGAATACAGAGCGCCTGCGTGAAACCTCTGCAGTATCCACCGCAGAGTTTCGGGAATACTTTAGGTTTCCAGCGCCGGCCGTTCGGAATGCGTAATCTCTACGGGCCTACCATACCATGTATGACCGTGTTAACGCGGGTAGAGCAAAGTAACTCAAACAAGGAGAGACGGAAACCAGTGATGGCGATGCATTGCGTGCTGAGCTCCGTCGGCAAGCGGTTGAACGAGAAGATGAGTATGAACAACGTGTGCGTCCTTTACAGGGAGCCTGTGTTTGCAAAGATTATGACGTTGCAAGAACCAGAGGATCAGATAGATGAACAGTTGGATGCAGTTTCGACCCAGGACACGGATATGCACACTGCTGCAGGTAAGGACTTTCAGGTAGGTGTGGTGATGCCTTCTCCGGTCGTGAATTTGGTCGATGAGTTCGAGATTACTGACCATGATCGTGTTTTGAATGATGTTCTTATGGTGACTTGCGATACAAGTAGTCCATTAAAAGACCTATTGGTTGGCCAGGGGCCAGTCGTGTCGGATGCGCCGTGTGCACCGTTTTCGTTGGTGGGGTTTCAAAGCTCAGGGACACCTTGGCTAGCACGGGGTCAGCTTCTTTGCATGAACCGTTTGTAAAGTTCACAGATGAGATTCCTGTATCTAGCGACACCAGGCTTGTTCAGAGCATGTATTAGATAGTGAGGTTGAGGTTGGTTTACCTAGTATGAACGATGGTTCTGTAGCGATGGAAGGTGGGGCTGGTGATAATGACAGTCACGAGGATATGCGTGAACTCGTAGAACAGGAGCGCCATAGTTTTGAGGACGAACTGGCGGCTTGTGACAAGCGTTGGCTGGAGCGTATTGTATGAGTCAGAGAAAGGTTGAAGATGACGCGGCCGGCATCGGTTGCGAGGGAGAGCCATTACCTGACCCTCTCGAGACTTCTGAGTTGCGGCAACAGCAAGAGTCAGTCCCAAACGAGTATCGACATACTGGCTGGGGGAAGCGTCGAGAAAATCCCAGATGTGGAGCCAAGAGCACATTCAGAAATCAGGTACGCACAGTAGCGAGAGCGTCCGTACACGGTTTCTGACCGCGTCGAGGACGATGGCGCGGACGTCGTTGTAACGTTCGAGCGGAAGAAGGAGGCGCAGAAGAATCGCAAAGCACCACATACGTTAGAGAATGTTCTGGATGAACTGACATGGATCAGCACCAGTGCTAAAGGGGTGCGCGTGTCGTTTGAGGTGGTGCTCGCGATAGTTTGGCGGCTACACTATCGCTTCATATGCGCTAGACCTACCCGCCTCCGGGGCCTATTGCAAGATAAGCTAGGTTGGAACGTTCCCACAAATTCACTGGCGGACGTTGTCGACTCGTGCACAACGTGTATTGCACGACGAGGAATGGATCACAGTTTGTGTAACGAGGGGTTGCTTTGTCAGTCTCCTTAAGCAAAGGCTTTTGGGGTGACATGGCACATCGATTATCACTACCATACTCGCAGTGCAGATGGCTACAATTATTTGCTTCACCACCACCAGCGGAGCGGCCAATGAGACGGCATGAACATACTTTCCAGGAATAAAGAGGTTCGTGAAGCAGCAACTTAGCCCGTGGTTGTTGATGAGGACAGGCCACATTTGATGGCCTATGAGTTTACCAACTGGTGCGCACAACGTCTCATTACCGTACATCCGGTGCAGAAAGACCGTCACAATGGCAATGGGCTTGCGGAGATATTGTGTCGTACGTGCAATATATAAATGTCTCGTTGTCTGCCGGCGAGTCAGCAGACAACTTAGCCTGATGCAGTGGCTGAGTTTATATCGGCGTATAATTCGACCCGCTCGTCGGTATCAGGTATGGCTCCGTTCATGTTGGCTACAAATGTGTGGGTCTCCTCCCATCATGCAAACGCCGATATCGTGGAACTGCTGTGTATGGACAGAGATGACCTAGCAGCCTAGGAGATGCTGTAGCCAGAGCCGCTTGAGCTGGACAATTGTGAACGACCGAGTGCAGCTTGCACAGGCCCGGGCTGCTAAAACGTGGAGAGTGAATGTACCGATGTTCAACGTTGGGCGAGTTGTTATGACGAAACCAGTTCAAGTACCGCACAAGTCACAACATGACTGTGTTGTGCCATCAGATGTGGTGGCATTAGATCCGCCGGTTTACTACATCGTGGGAATGCGAGCGACACGAAACTTGTACCGCGTTCACGTGGCTGACATGCAGGCTTACAGGGTATCTCTGGTGGAGCCGGAAAGGGGCAGAGCTAAACGGTGTCTTACGGGTGCGGTGTACTTAAACTGACTAATGTATAAGAGCCTGTTTAAGGATGCTCCTTAGGAGGAGCGGGACGAGATGGTAGGAGCAGCGAAGTGGCAAATGCTGTTAATTGCTGCTGGCATTGTTGGATTAGCTTGACGCATGACAAGAATCTTGAGCGGATTATCGGGTTTGAGAGACCAGGGACGAGGAGCTGGTGGCGAGGCATGTAAGGACGCGGTTTGTTCCGGTGTGACGGAGTGCTGTAAGGAGGGGCTACTGCCTGAATTACAGCAGTCAATATGTTATATAGGAGACATATGTTGAATACGTGGGCCGCGAAGAGAGATGCCAGAGAGACCAGGGACGAGGAGCTGGTGGCGAGGCATGTAAGGACGCGGTTTGTTCCGGCGTGACGGAGTGCTGTAAGGAGGGGCTACTGCCTGAATTACAGCAGTCGATATGATATATAGGAGACATATGTTGAATACGTGGGCCGCGAAGAGAGATGCCAGAGTCTGGCAAGATCAAGAGAGATGCCAGCGTGTGGCAGGATCAAGAAATGAATGGTCAGGTCTAAAGCAGGGTTATCAGTTAGCCGGTGGAAGACATGATAAATACAAAATATAACACAACATCACGCACCGTGCATGACTAGACAGAAGTCATACGGTCTTATATTTACATATTCAAGCTGCGTTGACAGGAGTCACCTGATTCATTTGAAACAACTACGATCAATCCTGTGGACGGGAAAAACGGATCACTAACGCCCTACGTCCTCGGGGGGATGTAATGTCCTACAGGATAAACGGTTCGGTACACTAGGTACCAAACAGCCAGCAGATATCGATACTAAAGGGTACCTGTCATATCATAACAAGATGTCAGAAGGGTGCCAAGGAGAAGGTCGGGAATCTGGTAATCATATTAATGCGAGCACGGTGAGCTAATAGGAACGCAGGATATGGTAGGAACTAACAGAGGCTATGTCAGGGAGCTACTGTAAAGTGCATCTGGCAATGAAGGAGGGAGAGTGCTGCCGTAAGAGAGCCTATTACTGAAGTTGTCAAATGACACCTAGCGTAAGGGGACCGTAGCGGTTGGTGGATTAGGTTGGTTGCCCGCAAGAGAGAGCCGCATAGTGTCGATTTAGAGGCAACGATATGGTGGTGACGTAAGTGGATATAGTGAAGGCCTATAGGAAGTAAAGGTTGACGCTATGTGAGTAAGGAGTAGGATAGTTATAGTCAAACCCGAGTTGTGCTTAGTCAAAATTGTTAAGTCTGAAATAAGTGAACTCAGTCAGAAGTGCCGTTATGAAAGGCGCGTCTGCTGTATTTATTAATCACGTTCCTATGTGGGACGAGATTTTCTCTAACAACGGCAGATTGTGAAAATCTCCGTATCTAAGATTATGGTCTCCTAGTTACTAAATAATGATGACATCTGATGAGTCATCATTTTTTTCGCACTAACTTATATATTCTAATATCCAGTCCGGTCCTCGGGTCCGTTCAATAAAATCCTTTTAGGCCCGAGCCTCTGATTCGGTCCTAAATATTTCACTTAGGTTCGGACCTCTTGGTCCGGTCCTAAATTCCTCTTGTCAGTCCGGTCCCGGTTCTAAATCCCCGTCTATGGTACTTTGTCTACATCCCCGCCAAGTTGAGTGCTGGCATTTTTCAATGATTATTTAAGCCATAATTCTGTGATAATTTATGAATAACAATATAAAGGTAATATCCTACACGGACCGTGGGGTTATTTCATCGTTAGAATTTACTATTTACCAATTATTACATATGTCGTAAATAACTGCGGCTAAAATATCACTCAGTCAACTGTAAACAGACTAAAAGTACCTGTTTTGTATTAAATTAATAAAATAGTTCCGTGCTATAAATATACCAAATGTAATAAAAATAAAATCATATATAAACTATTTTGTTATTATTTTTTATACATCAAACCCATGGTCGTAAATATACATTCTGTCGATTTTATGCCTTATAATTATACCTATTTAACAGTATATTTATTACATGACGAGTCATGTCTCAAACCATTGTCGATAATTAGCTGTTAATTGGTCACTATTGATAACAGCCTATGTGTCTCGCACAACGTATTGTCTTTTATTATATGTATATCCTAATTTGGCACGCGTCTCGCGTTTGACTATGTATACCCGGCTGTCGAATCCGTTAAAATCTATTAGACAATGCGTTACATTATTCCGTATTTAAAGTCCGTGTACATATGTAATACGTTTAACGGTTTGTGAATGTTAAGTCAACCGTGGTTGCCTTTTCTATTCTATTGTCTACGTAGTATGAAATCACCGTAAACCAATTTTCTATATGTTCTCCTGTAGTGTGTGTGTAATGGTTCATTAATTCCTGCATAAAGAAGAGTAGTTGTGGCACTATGCCCGATATTGTGATGTGCATGTGCGTGAAGCGGATACAGCATAGCATTGCACGTCCAGTCCCGCCATCAAATTGCTGATTGTGCGTTGAAATTGTGACGTGAGTGTCGTCAATCCAAAGGGAGCCGACGTAAACGAGTACTGCTGACTATCCCATGTAAACGAAAACATGTGCTGCGAATCGATGTGCACAGGTAACCGATGGTATGCGGTTGATAAGCCCAACGTGGTATGGTATCGCTTGCCCTTCAAGTTGCTATTGATCTCGTTGACCTTCGGAAGCGTAAACTGATCGCCCGGAATAAGTGCGTGGATCTGCCGCAGGTTCAAGCACACGCGCACATTAATAAGTTTACCAGTCGGTATATATA